ACGTTCGCCAAATAGCAGCCTTGTTCACATCCCTCTCCCCAAAATAGCGAAATAGTATCATCCGATACCACGTGATGAAGGCGGAGCCAAGTGCCAACTCCTGGTGAAGGAACGATAGTTGCGCGCATGAACCTAAATTCCATTTTAATGGTTCTTGAGAGAAATATATTATATATATTTGAGAATTGAATTTGTTGTGATTGACAAGTAAATAAGACAAATCAATCATATGCATAAATTAAACAGATTTTAGAGATATATTTGCCACCACTTTCTTATTTTTACTAGGTTTTCTATTTAATGGCTCTTTCGTAAACGGGTTTATCCTTATAGTGGTCTGATTGGACTACCTATAAGAAACAGTTGGCATCTCTGTGTATATAAATAAAACTATTTTAGTGTGTTCTATATTGCATTAATTTCTTCAAACCATTTTAGTAACGATAATAATATAAAAATATTAAAAATTTACTCGAATTATGTGTTTCTAATAATTTTGACTTCGCCGGCCGCCGGTGAGCCCGTCGTGCTACGAACAAACTCAGTGGCGGTCACCGGTGACTCCCATGGCATTCAACGTGTTAATAAAATTTTGATTATATTTTAGTCCTCCGAGTGAACCTTAAATTTGACAGCTTTGGTTTAAGTCCAATTTATAAAACGGGAATTACTACAGAAAGTCCACCCCCCCCCCTCCAAAAAAAAAGAATGAAATCTAAACAAATTAGATTGAGACGCAAAGGTCTTTATAAACTCTAAATGACCAAACTTTATCTTTAATTTAATATTTGATTTTAAGCTACTTTTTCACACTTGATTATTGATCATTTTTACCTTTTTTTCTGTTTCTTCATCTTTGATGTGAACTGTTGAAATTTGATGGGTTAATTTCGCAATAAATCCAATCGGTAAAAAAAAAATAATAATAATAATAATTTTAGACTCATGAAAACCCTCCAATAAAGCATTTTAAACTATATTTTTACCTTAAAATAATTCATCGATGGATTCAAACTAACGTCTTATATCCTATTATCAAAATATCTTAAGTCTGGTGTATTTCATTTTCTAGTAAATAAAAAATTACGCTTGCATCCTAACAGTAACATTTACGATATTCTCGCCCATTTCAATGAAGTATTTCAGACAATACATGCTAGAATATAGAAGCATGCAGGTTTGACTAGATCAATCCATTCCTCATTTCTTTCTGAATAAATAATTATAGCTAGTTCACCAATAATGATTCCAAAGAACTGTAAATCACTTGCGCTTCTCTATATTTATGAATTATGGCCTATAATCAGAATACGTGACAACAATGGTAAATACACCGACACCTGCGAAATCTAAACTGTTAGCTTCTTTCTTAATAGATATGGGCGGAACAGTAAAAAGACTAAACGTTGGGGAGGACAGAGGATTCCCTTACTCCCACGGACCATGTAAAACGATGGGCAATTGGTAAATTTGGGACTGGACACATGGGGGACTCCCTATGATAATCTAGTAATGCATTAAAATTTGATTAATCAATCACCCGTTTCTGAGTTATTTATCTGCTTTGTTCATATTGATTTGTCTTATGTGAGATTACGGTAAAATCACGAAAAAATGTTTAGTAACGCATGGCAATGATAAATATTTGTCAAAATGACGTTAGTGTTTATTGATTTAAAAAGAAAGAAAAACGCTTTCAAAAATTGAAGATTTTTTTTTTATCAAAGTTTTAACTTAATCAATAATAAAAATTTGCATGTTCAAGTTATCTGATGACTTTTAATGTGAGAAAATAAGTACTTCGTTGTAAATATGTAAATGTTGTCTAGGATAATGTAGTATAGCATTAAATTTTGATTAATTAATCATCCGTTTCTGAGTTATTTATCTGCTTTGTTTATATTTATTTGTCGTATGTGATGAAGTAAAATCGTGAAAAAATTTATGATTATTATTAACAAAGATAAATATTCGTCAAAATGATATTACTGTTTATTGATTTAAGAAGAAAAAAAACGTGTTGCTAAGTTTTAACTTAATTATTAAAAAAATTTGTCTGTCCAAATTGTCTTATAAATTTTAACTTAAGGAAACTACTATTTCGTTTTAAATTTTTCGCGTTTTAACGCTAGATGTCTTTTTAACTCATAATACAACATGTTGTTAAATTGGCCTTTATAAAAGAGTTTCAATTATTTAATTGGCCGAAGCAGCTTTGTTGGCAGGGAGCTGGACTCACATTCGTGAGAATAGAAGTTCGAATCCAGCTCGCCGAGGGCCTCCCGTGTAGTAAATGGTTAATAGTGCACGTTAAATCTGTCGGATCACAAGGTCCTCCTTGTCCCCATAACAAATGACACTGAGGGATGGATGAATGGGTCCACCCTATAAACGGGTATGACGTATGGGTGTGGCACCATTCTTGCCAAAGATGACGCCTCTGGAAAACAAGAACAATCGAATTCTTTGCCCTAATGGCCTACAACAACAATTATTTGATGACGGGTAGACCCATTAAATCTCGATCACTGCCAGCCGAGTGGAAGTGGGTATACTATATATTTCTTTGAAGAGTGGTAATCTATAAAGATAAAATGTAACTTAAATTTTCTTATTTCAGCAAATATTTTAGGTTTCAAATTTTACAAGTTTATTAAAAAAAATATGCTATCGATCCTTTAAAATATAACATATTATCACATTTTCTTCAAAAATAGTCACATGATAACATGCATCTAGCCATCACTTGATCCGTTTTATTGGCACGAAATGTAGGGAATCATTTCGTATGACGATATTGCGTGATTAGTAACTAAAGTGTTAAAAGCAATTTTAGGAAATTAAGAATATTACAATATAACAAATTTTGTTACCACAACAAAAAAAATGAGCACAATGAGGAGCACTCCCTGTATGATTCTTGCGAAGCACAGTCCTGCATCATATTTACAGTTTCAGTATTAACGTTTTGCTTTCGGCACTGAGCATAATGAAGCTATTCGGGTCCACTTATTATACCAGCCGTAAGCGATAGGGTAAAATATCTGTACTGGACTTTCAGAAATGACAAGATGCTGGTGGAACATTAACAACATATCTAGTAGTAAGTAGTAAAAACATTACTTTTTCTTAATCTTTTTTTAGTAGAAGTAAACTATTTAAAATAACTAGTTATGAGCTATATCATGTATAACTTTTTTTTTTCATATAATTTTCATGTGTAAATATTTTTGATAATAAGTATCGTTAATAAGTAGTTAGAGTCAGGAATAGTTTTCTTCTACATAAATAAAGGCAAAAGTGATTTATTTTTACAACACCATTTAATATTTATAAAAATGATCATGGCTGTCACTTTTCCAAGAAACAATTTCATAAGACTGACAGCCCTCATAATAACTTGTTCAGGCCCAGGGTAAGCCTCAGTGCACCTCACCAAACACAGGATACACATAACCTTGAAAACTTGAAGTGTAGTGACGAATTGTTCTCAAGAGTGTTAAGAATTTCATGAAGTTTAATTTAAACTTCATTAACCCTTTCGGGCCGACTGTCACAAATATGTGCCACCATAAAACTGTATCAATCAGGGTAAAAAGATAAAACTGGTAATCAAAGTAATTCTTTACCCGTTTATTTGTGGGCGGAGTTATAATTGTTTGATTTATTTAATTCACCATTACTTTGTTCAAAATAAAACTATTTAGTTATACTTTGAATTAACATTGATTATATATATGATCAATCTAACAATAATTAAAGTAAAAGCAAAGTAAGTCTGTCAAATAAGAAACGACTACATTTAAGTTACCGTTTTTTATTTAATTACAACTTGATTCTGATTTTGTACGAATGCTTTTCAGAATCAACCGTCCCCAAGGGGTTAAAAGAGTTTTTTAAGTTTTCACATTATGTTAACTCCTTGGGGATGGGTGATTCTTAAAAGCATTCGTACAAAATCAGAATCAGGATGTAACTAAATAAAAAACGGTAGCTTAAATGCAGGCGTTGCTAATTTAATAGACTTACTTTGCTTTTACTTTAATTATTGTTAGTTTAATCATGTATATAATCAATGTTAATTCAAAGTATAACTAAATAGTTTTATTTTGAACTAAGTAATGGTAACTAAAATAAATCAAAAAGTTATAACCCCGCCCACAAATAAACTGCTAAAGAATTACTTTGATTACCAGTTTTATCTTTTTACCCTGGTTGATAAGCTTTTACAGAGATGCCAACTTGCTCCAGACAGCAAATGAATATTTTAAAGTGGTAGTTTATCAATTGTGATTCTTGGTTTAATAAGTAGATTTTTATCCACCACTATTTCTAAATAATTCATAGTCTTATATAATTCACCGCATTATAGTAGTTATGTCATGCTATGCCGTTTTAAAAGCTAGCAAAAATAGTCAAATATTTGCAAATTTTTGTTTGCATCTATTTACCGCTTTGTTAATTATTTAGGCGTGCCCGTAGCAGTTGGCATCTCTGCTTTTATGCTGGCACGTATTTGTGACAGTCGGTGCGAAAGGGTTAAACAAAATAAAAATAATTTTAGCACATATGAATGCTACAAAGTATTAAATCTATCGGAAAATTCTGTCCTTGAAAGTACGCTCCCTTTTCTACGAGGGTACAAAAGTTGCCTTTATCAAAAATGTGCAGGGCAAATCCCAGCGGTTACTGCTTGATTCGAATTCTGCTTCCGGTTCGCACCGACCACAGTGTTGACTTAAAATATCCTCAGTGGTAGTCTGACAGTTGGAAGTTTACATGGTTTTCCTCCAAACGTAACTGGAATGCGTAAGTTCCTTAAAAAAAGTCCTCATTGAAGACTAATTGTCCTAATGCCGCATTCATGAATTTCCTTGTCCTCATGATTAAGATCAAAATTACATGGCTACAGGGTTAAGCATTCATAATCGTAAACTCAGAATTGGGTCGGCAGGATCAAAATAAGATTAAGTACTAAGATAAGTAAGAAATGTCCTTACCGTAAACACGCATTTCGTCTTCTGATTTTGCTGTTTTGAAAGAAGGTGCTTCTCCTGAAACTTCACAGCCATACAGGCCCTCAGTGTCTAAGCTGGTTGACGTCAGGAGAACATGACTGCTGTTTGATCTTTCAAGCTAAAACAGAATTTAAAAACGATTATGAAAATCTTATTAATTGTCAACTTCCTTAAATTATCTATAATATTACCTTGCGCACATGCATTTTCGGGCCCATCCTTGGTAAGTAACAAATTAAATGCACTTCAGTACTGCAGTAAGAACGCACTTTATACAAACCCCTCTATCTACGCTTTTACCTCAATTTGCGCTTTTGGTTTCATATTTGGCAATCTGGCAATCTTGTTACGAAAATATTTTAAATCATTCTTGAAAAATTTCCCGCTCATGTAAGTTCATTTGAATTCGCTACTCGCTTTATAGAGTTCATTTCATGTTTTATTCTGTTTTTTCTTTATATTTTATTTTCTGTTTTTACATAATATTTTTACCTATTGTGTTCGATTTTATTTGTTGCAATTTTTTTGTAAAAATTTCTTTGAGTGCTCCTCATACTATTGTATTGATATATTTTGCTTTGGCTATTTTGATACAATAATAGAAAGCACTCCTTTTTGCGAATATAATGGTGTGAGCTGATGAAAAGATTATATGTTTTATTTTCCGGATTTTTATAAATTTTTTTTCCTTTTTTTCGGATTTTTTTTCACGGTTTCTTGTTGTTTTTATTATTATTTTTCTTTTTCCCTTTTTTTCATTGATCTGTAATTTTTTCCACGTTTTCTCTGCATTTTAAACTTATTTTATGAGTTCTATTTACTTGCAGATTATGCGCAGTAAATAAATCTTATTGTTTTTCTTAATTTTCCTCGTGTTTTTTTTTTGTATCATTAATTGATAAACTTAAATATTTGCTTAAACTTTAAAACTTTAACAAATCTTGAAAAAATAGATTAAATTCAAATGATTTTTCAGATGGCTTTAAATAGTTTGCAAAAATAATAAATCGACAGTTTATATCAAGACAAAATATCATTTAAATTTATAAGATATGTCTAAAAAATGTATATTTATTTTTTATTGACGAACTGTTTAAAAAAAAAGTAATAATATATTGCAAACAAACCTGTCTTAATAATTTTTTTTTCATTCAGTAGATATTCCCTTTTCTCTTGTCAATTATATCGACAGTTAGCATTTTTTTTTCTTTTTATCTTTCTGAATATTTTGAATGCAGTTCTATTAAAGAGAATAAGGTAGTATTGATTTAGATATTTTCTGTGTCGAAAAACAAAGAACTTCTAATTGGAATATATTGGGCATGAATTGCGAACGATAAATTTGTAAAGAAGTCTTAAAGATATATATTTTGTTATGTAAATTGTTTTGAATGCAAAACTACTATAAAAAATTACATACAAAACTACAAAAATAAAATTATTAAAAATATTCTTTTATTCGGTCGTCTGGAAACATTGTGCTGATTTTCGATCTGCGGAGCTCCAAATTTCCGTCAAAAAAATTCTAGTGGTAGCGAATGACTTATCAAAGCAGTTTAAAGCTTTCTTTATATCACAACCTCTTCTATTCAGATTATTTTAATCTACGTAACTGCCAACTTGCATGGTAGTTGAGAAATAATTAGCCTTAGCAACATTAGCCTTTTGGTGTATTAAATCTGAAAAGTTTCAAACAAATTTTAAGCCACCATGACGAATCAAAAATTTAAAAAAAAATATGGAGATAAGATCTATTTGTTAGCTAATAATGCTTATAGATATCTTAATAGTTTTGTTGTTAGATATATCGTCCGATTGTGTTAGATACCTGATCCCTTAACGCTCAGATTTTTTGAAAAAAACCGTCGAAAAAAAATTTTTTTTTAATGTATAAAAGCACACTTTGGAACTTTGTCTTTTCTTTCAGCGGAAAATTTTGATGTACTGCGCTTTTGTTCCATGGAAAAAGGCTATATTCAGAGATGCCTACTGCTCCGGTCACGCCAAAATAATTAAATAAACGGTAAATAGCTACAAAGTAAATATTGCAAATATTTGACAATTTTTGCCTGCTTTTAAAAGGCATAGCATGACACAAGTATTGCCTATGCCTATGTGAGGTGGGTATCTAAGTATCGGCCCCGAAGGGGCCCTAACTCATTCATCTGAGTGGGGTAGCAGTGTGTGCAGCTAGAGCTCAAATCAAAGGGGTAAAATAAGTAGCAAAATTGCCTTAGTACGTAAACACAATGAATGAAAATAGAACTTGATTAGATAGGTACATATAAATATATTAAGTGAGGGGTATATACAAAATAAGAGTAGAATCGCAACTCCTGACCTGCCTCGCCTCCCCCCCGAAGGGCTTCATTGGTGCACAGGACAGGAACCTTGATTCAAGAAGTGAAAATATATACAACTATATACAAGATTAAGTGGCGAACCGTTTGGATAGCACGCCGTCTGAGAGGAAAAACACCGTTGCCGGGCTATATTTAATATTTTCCCTGAGAAGTTCGAAATCAAAAATAGTATGGTAATTGCATGCGTTGCAGCGAGTTGCATCTTTGAAGAAGGCGGCGCATAAGAGTNCATCTTTATGCCTGTATTTCGAACTGCTATTTCCCAACTACATGGAAAAACGCAATCGTAATACTATTCCCAAAACAAGGGAAAAACCATTTAAACCCAGAAAACTGTAGACCAATTAGCCTTCTAAACACCCTCTCAAAAGTACTAGAGAAAATAATACTAACTAGACTTCTCCCCACCCTCGACTGTCTACCTAATGAACAATTTGGTTTTCGAAACACTCTCCACAACAAAGCAACTCCTAAGGATACTCGAATTTATCAGCCAAGATTTCTACAAAAAAGAAACTACACCAATGGTAATGCTTGACTTTGCAAAGGCATTCGATAAAGTTTGGCATAATGGTCTCATGCATAAAATGATAAATTACAAGATCCCGGATGACCTTATACACATAATAGATAATTACCTTGCAAACAGGACTTTTAATATCAAATTAAATAATGCCCTCTCCACAAAAAGAGTCATCAAAGCAGGCGTGCCACAGGGCTCAATCCTAGGACCAGTGCTCTTTCTCATTTACACGTCAGATTTCCCTGTTATCAGAAACGATATAAACATGCAAACTGCATTTTATACCGATGACACGGCAATACTAGCCAAATCAATAAGCACAAAAGTAGCAGCTCGAAAAATACAAACTAGCCTAAACGCAGTCGAAAGTTGGTGCACAACCTGGAAGACGAGGATAAACCCATCTAAATCAAATCTCCTCATCTTTAAAGGAAGATACAAAAAGAAAGACTGTAACTATAACAGGATTAAACTATTCAACGAAGATATCCCTATCACCAACAGTGCGAAATATCTAGGAGTAACACTGACCAATACATTCAACTGGAATCTCCAAATTAACAATATTATGACAAAAGCGGCATACCACGCCCTAAGACCCATGCTATCGCAAGACTCAAAAATGGCATTAAGGACCAAAAGAACCATATACCTATGTGTATTAGACCCATACTAACATTCGCCTCCCCTGCATGGATCACTCTCACTAAAAACCAAATCAAAAAGTTAAACTCAGTACAAAACAAAACCCTTAGGTATATCACTGGGGCACCCTGGTATATCAGCAATAAAACTATCCACCAGGACCTAAAAATAGATCCATTAGACAACTACATAAATAGAATGAACGCATCATTCTACAAAGAAGCTACGAATTGCACCATGTGCATTTTTAAAAATCTATTTGACTTTGAGACCATCAACGATAATGCCAAATTCAGCCCTGCCACTGCCTTCTTCATTAGCGATGGCATTCTTTCTAAATATTTTAATTAATAATTCTAATGCGAGCGCTCTCAAAATGAACTGCATCAATCTGCACCAATGAAGCCCTTCGGGGGGGAGGCGAGGGAAAGATGCAGGGATTCTAGAGATGCGACCGCTCCTCAGCATCCTTCGATAGACGCGACGCTCCCATGCCCTAAATAGGGCATTAACTCACTCCGCCCGCTCGCTCCCCTTTGTACAGATGTATATTTATCATTAACATTGCATTTATTATTTACCATTAATTCTATAACCCAGACTACGATTTCGTTACCTCATGCATTTCCGATGCATGCTATTAGTATGCTCATTTTAGCCGAGTACTACCGATTGGCCCTTAAAAGGCCTCTACCTCGCACACTCGAACTCCGCTGTAAATATTCTCCAATGTTTATTATTATCACATTATATATTTTAACCTAGATCTCGTATGCAATTATTATCCATGCTGATTAATTACTCCAATATTACGAAGAAAGTGTATTGGCCCTAAAAAGGGCCTTTGCTCTTTTCTCACACGACCGCCTCACGCTGTATATATATCTCTAGTAGTGTTATGTAATTGCTTTATGTTTTAGTATCCTAACCATTTTAGACTGTGCAATCATGCACAATGTATTGTTTAATCACTAATTTACTTTACACTCATACGCTTGTGTAACCACTCTGACTCCCTCTCTTCCCTTATTTTCCGTACTATCTTAGATGAAGGTGTAGTGTAGATAGCCCGACGGACTAGGAACATCGTAACACATATTTTATAACGGTATATCGGTTGATTGAATAGTATATTACAACCGAATGCGATCTTAAAGTTCATTCAGCTCAAGGATTTAAACTTGAACAAATCAGTTGCCATGGGAACAAAAATAAGATTATTAATAAATTTGTTCACGATCTGCTTAAAGTGATTAAATTTTTCAGTGCTTTAAATTAAAGTAAATCGCAGTGAAGAGACCTTAAAAAAGAAAGGGGAAAATATTGGCAACGAAAATGTGAATTTCTTGTCATAATCGCTAAAATTCAGAAGTTGTTGTCAACTTCCCCGTAAACTCGACGCTTGTTACAATGAGAGTATCTTTATGGTACAATATTTTGTCAATACCCCGTTTTTGCTAAGAAATATTTTATGAAAAATCTATTGACGAAGCAGAATGCTAAGGTTTTAAGGGGCGATGAAATAAAGAAAATCATTAAAAAGCTAAAAAAAAAAAAGCCCCCAGGGCAAGATTGCATTACAAACAC